GTCAGCTTAGGCTGACGTGGGAGCCTATTCCCTTACAGGACTTGTTATTGCCAATTTAAACTTTGCTTAATGTGGGGCTTTGTTAGTAATGATAGGTTTTAATGTAGGCGTTATACTGCGAATGATATGTAAAAGAGTTAGTAAAATGTGTATAAAAAGGAGAAATCAACAATAAGGGGGTACTGAAAGTTGGACCATTCAAAATTGGATAAATAAAATGACACAAGTGGCACCTGGAGTAGGCGGCAGCAAGAGTTTTGGACAATGATAGTTCATAAAAATATTAAAAATTGTCAAATATATATTGGCATTTAATAATCAATATAATAGATTTGAGTTAAGAATCTGGCAATGCCATAAGAACAAGTTATTTTTACGTTTATTAAAAAAAGCAAATATCGAAGGATTAGGGTTTACTAAGCGAATGTAAAATTTTAATGTTAATCGTTTTCACTGATCGGCAGCTGAATGAAAAAAAAAATGAAAAAAAAAATAAAATAAAAAATAGAAAATATGGATACAAAATAAATAATTGATTTTCGATATTAAAAATCAATTCGATATTTCAATATCCGAAATCATTTCGATATTTGTTTGAAATTACTTTAAAAAACTTTCAAATATTTAAAATGCAATTTGTATTTCAAACGGAAACCCTAATTTTCGCAAACAAATGAGTAGAAATTTTACATAGTCTATGAGATACAAAAACATCTCCGCGAAACCCAAGCGGGTGGTATTCATGCAGTCTCTATTGATCCTGAGGTTAGAACACCATTCACATGTTTTCTCTAACAAAAGGTAGGTAAGATTGTTCAACATGACATTGGGCGTATTGTTCGTCTTTGCACCTATATGGACAAATTAATATCACAAAAAAAGCAAATTTAATAGTTCAACTTCAAAACGGCAAAAAAAATAAGCATGTATGAGGCGAAAAATTTTTCATTTGCAGGAAAATAGTAGTTACCTATTATTGATGTTACAATCCATCCCTAATGAGTGTGTAATATTATTAATTAACGATCATCTACTATGATGTCGAAATGAAACCAATTTGAAATTTTATTTTTTTTAATCGTCTGATATTTTTATGCAGATCACTAATCCTAATATCACGGTATTTGAACGGGGCTATATCAGTCTTCGACCGATATTTAACGCCAGCAATCGTTAGAATATTTATACAATTATTTCCAAACTGAAAGTTTTTTCGGTCCGATTTTCAAGTTCATTTTTTTTTTTGATTATTTTTGAATTTCACAAGATCGTTTCTGTAATACATTGAAAAAGACTAAAAATATATATTAATTAAAATATTTCACGTTCAAAATCAAATTTAATGAAGAATCAAAAATGATTATTAACAAATTGAGAATTAGAAATAAGTTATATTTGGTTCGTATTTCATTATTATACAGTGAGGTCGCAGAAATATTTTTTATGTAAATGCGAAAAATATTTGGAGATGCTAAACAGGGTGATCAGGTTAACGACATAACTAAGCTATATTATCTATTTTTTTTTTTAACGAATTATTTATTTCAAAATCCATATTTCGAATATTACTCAAAATTTCCTAACAATTTCACGTGTGACAAAAAAATATATATATATATAATTTGCGGTTTAATATATAACAAATAATAAAATACTATCAAAAAAATATCAATGTCTAAACAAAATTTGAAAATTTCTAGTAACCATTTTCATAGTGTAAATCGTTTTAAAAAATTGACAGAATATGAGTTTGATTGTCAGGAAATCTGTATTTATTTTCATCATTCCAATGAAATTCCCATATGAAAGTATAATCGGAGGAAAAAAAAAAATATTATAAATATGAGTAAATGCTACAAAATTAAGAAATTAATTAATACATAAGATAAATGAGATAAATGATGTGGATTCTTATAATTTTTTCTATCATTTTCGTTTATTTAATTCACAAAAACTTTTATAATAAAAACAAGGTTAAAATCATTGGTAAAGAAGTTCCAATAGTTCCATTACTTTCCACATTATGGGCTCTTTTAACTGGACCTCATGTCGATATTGTTATTCCTATACCTAATGAATATTATCAATCAGGAATTTACAAGGTATTTATTTCATTTTTCTGAATATTAGTGTTTCAAAATTTCTTATCATAGTCAATAAAGGCTCGTATAGGGTCAAGCGATTATTATACTATCGTAAGTGCTGATTTTGCTAGAAAAATTTTAACCGAGCAAGGTGAGACTTTGTGTAACGTACTTTTCATGCTAATTATCAAATAAATATTAATTTTGATTTTATAAAATTTATAAATTTTAATAGAAGATAATTTTCCCAAATATACATTCAATAACGAACTTCCTGTTTATAAATTCTTTGGAAACGGGATCGTTTTCGCTAATGGTGACGTAAGTGTTTCTTGACGTTTCAATCGCTATGTAATATCGAAGAAACTTATCATGAATGTAAACACAAATAGAAATGGCGCGTTCACAGGAAATTATCGAACCCGGCATTTAATCTTTTATTGACTCCTAATGCCATGGGTGAAGTGGTTTTGGAAGCGTTTAAATATATGAGCAGTGAAATTCATGAGCCAATCGACATTTATGAAATGATACAACATATAACCATTGAAGTATTAGGAAAGGTTGCTTTTGGATATTCGTTCGGAGTAAGTATACTTATCAAATACTTGTTAAATCATAGAATCATCCTTGTCAAATTTTTTTTTTTTTCTTTTTAAAGACCTTAAAATCGAAAGAATTGCCAGATATCGTACGCAAATATAAATATATCATGGATCATGTCGAATCATATTCATTAAATATATTTACCTTTCTAAATAAATTACCAACGAAAAGGAATAGAAAGTTCCATGAAGCATTAAAAGCCTTTGATAAATATATATATGAAATCATTGATATTAAAAGATTCGAATTAGCTAAACGTAAAAAATTAAATGAAAAGAAAACATCCAACAATGAAGAATTATTGATAAACATGTTGGAGGCTAGTGAACAAGAAAAGATTTATATCGGAAGTGAAGATTTAAGAGATAACATGATAAACTTCTTTAGCGCAGGGAATGACAGTAAGGGCATATTTAACGATTATTTATAACCTTAGTTCCGTTAACGTTAATAATATTCTTTATTAATATAGCCACATCGATGTCCATAAGTTCTTCTATTTATAATCTTGCAAGATATCCGGTAAGTGTTTTTATTATTATTAAATACACACTTTACACTTTTCTTAAATGTAATTTTGTCATCAATAGGAAATGCAAAAGAAAGCAAGGGATGAAGTTATAAGTGTAATGGGCGATGAAATCAGAATACCCACAGTGGATCAATTGAAGGTAATTAAATTCATTACAAAGACCTTTCGCTATGTTCGCTATCAATTTCATTAACTTTTCTTAATATGTAGGATTTTCATTATCTAAATGCTATTATAAAAGAAAGTTTGAGGCGATATCCTGCTCCAATGGCATTTCGACAACTTCAAAAGCCAACGAAATTTGGAGAATATTTAATTCCAGACAAGTCTATAGTAAAAATTTCTAACTTTGGTGTGCATCATGACCCAAAATATTGGAAAAATGCTTATAGATTCGATCCTGAAAGATGGTTATCAAACGAAAAAATTGAAAAAAGACATGCATTTTCTTATATTCCGTTTAGTGCTGGTTCTAGAAATTGGTAAGTTTATATGAATTTTCATTTAGATTACATACAATTACACGTCATATTTATGGCATAAATATTTTTATTCATATAGCGTTGGGCAAAACTTTAGTATAATGGAACAACGAGTTGTTCTTGCAATGTTTTGTAAGTGTCAATTTATGGTCGATAAAAATATTTCGATTTATTTCTTAATTGATTTTTGATTTTTATAGTAATCAAGTACGAGTGGAGTTTGCCCAATAATTCTATACATAAGGAAGATTTGGTTTTAAGCAATGCATTTTTATTTAGACCCAAAAATCTCAAAATTAATTTTCAAGAAAGAATGAAAATTTGTTAACTTGCATACGTCATAAAACTTACCCTACATAATTCAATATAATAAATTATTTAATTAATATGTCGATTTAAATTTTAGATTATTGGTACTTTATTTGAACGGAAGTATGTAACCACGCCACATTTCTTACTTATGAGTATAAAATATATCTAAGAGACGTAGTAATAAAGTTTAGAAGCTAATATTTTTTTTTAAAAAAAAAAAAAATAATAATAATAATTTTATTAAAGTGGCATGATTTTTCAAGTTATTACTTCATGTCAATCGAATCGAAATTAATGACCATAATAGGAAATTTGTAATATTTCTAATATCAGCCATAAGAGGAAATTTTGAATATCATAATCTCCTATTATGGAAATTATCATCGGCTGATTAATATTTAAGCTTATGGGTTCATTATGTAGCATATGGGTTAATTTTTAAATACATTGAATATCATTCTTTATCCTATTTTAATATTTTAATAATAATTATGAAAATATCAATGCAGTTCATATTTAATTTAAAATGAGATTACTTTTGAATAGTGATTGGAACTGTCATTAAAAAATTTAACCGCATTTAAAAATTATTTTTAATTTTCATTGATAACCTAAAAATGTAATTAAGGATCATATAATGCATTTGATAGCTGATTTTAAATAAATAAAATTTTTTACATTCTTTTAAACATATCTACATATTCATTATTCGTTTAACAAATAACGATAACATTAAGTTTTACCCTCTTCGTTTTGACATTTAAAAATTTTTTTCGTTAATCGTTTCTTTGAGGAAATAGGGTTAAAAGTTTTATTATATATATATATTTTTTTAAAATGAAACGTAAATTATACATTTTTATAAAAGATGATATTGTGTAATTGCAATGATAGCGAACATATTGATGCCTAAAGTGTATAAATACATTAAAATTAGCCGGTTAATTAACCGTTGAATTACAGTAACCGGCTAATAATTAGCCGGTTAACCAAAATTTAATGATTAACCATTAATATGAACCAATTAACCGGTTAATAATTAGCCGGACTTTTGAATATCATCAGAGCAAATGTGGTATTTAATGAATTACAAAATGTTTCTTATCATTGACTTTTTTATATGCACGATTGTGACCTGTTACTCCTATTATACCGTAGCATCTTCTGACACATTAGCAAAACGCTACCTCTTTCGCAAGTATTATCGTAAGATTTGCCTTTTTGTAAAAGTAAAAAAGTTTTGCTGGTTATTTCACAACATCAATTATGATCTTTAATTACATTAGCGCTTCTTCAATTTTCATATATATTTACAATTGGGGGCTAAGCTATTAAAATCACCTTACGGGATAAGAAATTGATTTTGATTAAAAAAATGCTACGCCACAGTAAAC